CCAGAGGTTGAAGCGTGAAAGGCCCTCCACCACACCATCCCCACCCTGCTGTGGAGCGAGAAGGAGCGTAAAATGGACAGATATCAATTAGTCGCGGTGTGGTCGTACCGTTGGCATTCTGGGAAAATCAAATCTCGTGTAAATACGACACTGGGAATGTTCGGGGAAGGTGTTGGAGAGATGAGAATTCAGAGAATGATAAAAACCTGTAGATAAGTTGAGACTCACTGTACTGTATCTCCGGAACACTGACGTCGACTAGATGACGAAGAACGTATCTGGTGTTACAGACTACAGAGATACCTATCATTCCCATGGTGACAGCGGTGACAAAAGCAGTGGTGACCTGAAGAGCCTTCGAGCTGGCACTCGGCTACATTTATCACTCGTTTTGTGAATAATGAAGAGAAGCTGTCACCTGTAGTGCGATGAAAGGGTAGAAGAGCTTAGCCTTCTTCTGTATGATTCCGACAAACAGAAACATCAAACACGTTGTCGTAGCCGTTATTGGAATCGCGAACAGCTTGAGCTGCGGACGCCGTTGCTGAAACGGAAAAACGAACGGCTATAAGGGCAGCAGCAAAACAGTCACATATGGAAGCCCCACTTTGGGTCAGAAACGTTCCGCGACGATGTGATGTCTTCAGTGCGCCGCGCGCGATAGAGACTACAGGCGCGGCGAAGATGGGTTTAGTACAGGGAGTCCAAGGCGCAGCAGCATTGCCAACTAGTTGGTCTTGGCACGAATGCCGCTAATATGACCCCGCTTGCAGCGCCTCCTTGGTGGCCTTGGCCGCGAGTAGACCTTGTGTAATCAGCGCTACTAGGCCGCACATACAGTCCTCATCATTGCGGACTGTCGGGGCGGCTGAGCCGCGCTGCACTGTGACGCGACAGCGGCTGCGGCTCGGTGACGGCGAATCAGCTGATTTCGATGGAATTCGGCTGCAAATTCCCACTTTTTCAGCTCTTCAGGGAAAGTGGAAGGTAAGTCATTTTGAACAATTTTAATAATTGTACTGGCTCTAATTTCCTTTATTTTTATGTTCTACTATTATGCTCTTTCCTTGCTATTTTGCCTATATTTTCAGGCATTTATTCAAAAGGCTTGATTCTTTTCAGATTCATTCGGAGCCAGTACAACTTAAAATTGTTTCAAAAATAATTCAGCGCCTCGCAACTTCCGGAGGCTTGAAGAGCTGAAAAAGTGGAATTCGCAGGCCCAAATTCCATGGAAATCAGCTGATTCGCCGTCACCCCAGCCGCAGCAGCCGCTGTTGCGTCACAGTGCAGCGCGGCTCAGCCGCCCCGACAGTCCGCAATGATGAGGACTGTACCATGTACAGTGGCATGAGGAGTGGCTATGTGCTCTAATAGTGGCGTTGCCAACATAGGTCAAGCTAACATTGCATGGTTCTGACCAATATCGGGATATCATTGGAAGCCTATCAAAGCGTACAGAATGTGGGTCAGGAGATCCGAACGGGGTAAAACGGCGCTGCAGATGACATCGCGCCGGCATTTGTAGCGCCGTTACAATGTGGGACGTAAGAAATGAGTCATCACGCTGCCGGCCATCTAGTTTCTGCATGGTGCCGCAAAGTGGACCTGCTGACCAGAACCCAGGTGGACCAAGCACTGAAAGACGACTGTATTTTGGTCACCTTGTTGTCCCGTATACATGTGTCTGGGCGGCGTCGTAGCTTCGGGCATGCATAACGGGGAGGTGGGGGGTGTTCGTTGGACTTCATTTGCACATGGCGTTTCTGTATGGATAATTCCATTTGGGAACAATGTCATCCTATTTTGTGTTGAGCAAGACGTGATAACATTCATCTCAACAAAAGCACAGCGCCACCATGTATGGTTGAAGAGTGTGGCCATGCCTTTCTCGACTCCAAGATATTATGGAGTGGACCTAATGGTCTAATCGTCGAGTACTCACCTCTTGAGAAGTAAATATGCAGTAGAACAAGGAGCAGCAAATCACAATAAGAGCGTTGAATCCAACAAGCCATGTTGCTGTCTGAACTATGATATGAGGATCTTGATTTGAAATTCACTTGGAAACGATGAAAATGTTCGAGAATGTGAGGGGTGACTGTGATTGGTAGCTCCTCCTTATCCACTAACTACAGCTTTGTTCGTTGCGGACGCTGAGGCGTGTCAGATGGGCTGGGTTTGGAATGTTGCCAGCCAGCTTTCCACCAGTTTCCCACAGTTGGAGATTTGCTAAAGTTGCCCATCGGTTGTCAGAAGGGGCGGGCCTGCGCCAGTGCTAGTCCCTCTGACACGCCCCATCAGTCGTAGCGAACAAGGCTGTGCTGTTGTTTTGGACACATTTAGCGCAACCTAGACTTCAAAGCTAACGGTCAATACCTCACCCACGCCGACGGCCTGGTTTGAAGGTCTGCATCCCAGAAAGCCCAGGTAAGGGCGCCGTTGCACCTTAGGTGTTCAGGGTGACGGCCTAGTACTGATTTGTATGGCAGTATCATCAGCGCTCGGGTCAGAGTGTTCCAACATCCATTGAGTAACATTTCGCCCCCTCCCTACCCCCCCCCCAACAGGGTGTGGGGATAAGTGAGAACATGTTAATGAACCGATGAATTGCTGAGTATTCGTAATCTGTTTTGCAAACTTTAATGAGCCATCCAGGAAAAGTACACGTGTCTCTCATTGCTACAAAAAAGTGCCCTTCTCTTGTTGCTAGGATACCCCAAAGTTTTGCCCACAGAGCTGCAAAGCTGTTTACTAATGAGATTATACTATCGAATTTCACCACATTCGCGTCGTTAGCACTCTTTTTGGAGAGGAAAAGTGCCTGAAAGGGACGGTCGTTCGGATTTGAGCAGTTAGCGTAACTAGCAGACGCATCTATCACCCATAAGTACGGACGGAAATGGTGACAAATGACGCCATTCACTACGCGCATGGTCGCGGGTCAAATCTCGGGTCAGAATAGATAGGTCGTTAGAAGAAGTTCAGGAGGGGGGGGGAATGGGAGTCGTACATTGGCGATGGATGGAGGGTTTCTATTCGGTTGATAGGGGTCGTATCTGGCTTTGAGATACGATTTCCGAACCGGAGAAATTTTTCAGGTTGTTGGTTATTCGTAATACTTCCTGCCTTCTATGCGCAATGTTTTTCTTTCTTTGACGGCGCAAACCCTTACTTCTGCGGCGGTTTTTTTTTGGGGGGGGGGGGGAAGGTGAAAAACTTCTTTGGAAAGTAGTAATAGGTGGTAGGTGGGCACGAGGGAGGAAGTCGTACTGCAAGAGGAAATCCGGGGAGTGCTCGGAGTGGAGGTTCTGACTCACTCATATTACTTTTCACGATGCTGTACCTGCCGGCCCGAACTGGCCCTGCTAAGGTCAACCGAAGCCTCTATGTTCAAGATTTGATTGGTAGCAGACCTTCTTAGAGAACAAACCATTGGTAGGTGGACTGAACGCCCGCAGGAGGAGGCCATTGAAGAGGGCAGATCGCTCTCAAAATTCAACTACGACTTCATATTGAAGTGGAATGTGCGAGAATGAGCAAAACTAATGAACACCGAGAACTTTATCCGGCGCTGTCGGCGGCGGACGGAGGGGCATTTTAACACTTTGTAACTTCCGCATACAGACGTGTCAAGCCATTAAGTGGAGACCTGTGAAATACTATGAAGCCAAGATTTGATACCAGCCAATCTAGAGACCCCTCTCGACTTTTGTAAGAGTACCTGTGAAATCTTATCAAGCAATAAAATACCACACAAATACCATTAACCATGTGGATTGACGGGCTTGCCCCAGCTTCATTAACGTTCACAGGTTTCATCAGCATCAGAGTAATACTTGTAAACCAGAACTGGTGTGTGTAGCGAGCAGACCCCCCCCCTCGCCCTCGTCGCACTGCGCCTTTGATCCTTCCTTATCGCAGTAATTTTACGCTTTACTGCAGGTTTCTCACGAGAGCAACGTTGTAATTCTACTAGCAGAGCTCATTAATGCTTTTGCGACTGAATGGCCTTTCCTTTCCTTTGTTGGCTTGTCTATAATCAAAGGATTATTGCCGTCATCAGAGTGTAGGGTAATGGGCGCCGCATTTTTCTTTTGGGCAAGTGTGTCTTGATGTAAGCAATGACCCAAAAAATTTAGGAAAAATATCAAGATCACTTCAGGAGGAAGGCTTTTCGATGAAGTGTTGTATGAATGGAGCGGAGGTGGTGTCATGACAAGTGGCGCGCTTACCACCTGCGCCGTTTCTAGTTCAAGATCCTGGGTCGCCTCCAGCTCAGGCCAAACAAGCCTTCTACCAGATTCGTCTGTTAAGATAGTAAACCTGACTTGCACATCGGCTGGCCCCACTCAAAGTCATTGTATAGGCCACATCGCATTCAATAAGCCACTACGATTCTGAATGGAAGTAGAAGTGCGTGCCGCATCCCACAAAGGGATTGATCAACGGCGAAGACTTCATCCTTTATCACCACGTTGGTTCACCGCTATCCCCAGGGGCCACCTACAGCTCCCTCCTTTTTGATGTAGCTCCTCCCATGTCAGTTACATTAGGCTTTTCGCTGAACCATTTTGCGGGGCCATCTTGAGATGAGCGTATTGAAAAAAAAGTCAAAACACAAGCCTCCAGATGTTCAACACATCTATGTACATATTGCTCGGGAATTCTAGAGTTACGTGAAAAAATGGGGTTTGTCAATTTCCCGTGTACCGATTAGCTCATGACTACTTGAGAATTAAATCCCTTTCTTATACAAAGTACCCCGGACCACTGGAAGCTGTACCACTTGCGTGCCTCGAAAAACGAGGAACGAAGCTGCTGTAGCCGTCCATCGCCGTTCGAGGCCCATCTCTAGATAAATGCATCCAGCGAATGCGTTGGTGTCTGTTGTCTCGCTTGTGTTTCTGTTCTCTCATCCCTCGCCTCTAGTCTCTCCCGCGCTACCATTGTCTCCTCGTCTCTCACTTTTTCGCATGTTCGTGCAATGCCCATAATCGACAACGAAAAAGAGAGTCCTGTCATGAACGTTTCCGACGGTTTCATCTGCTTTTTTTCTTCAGTGGTGAGCCAATAAACGCCTATAAACTCATGACTCGGCGCTATTCGGCTTGGTGGGGTGCCAGAGAGTTCTGAGCAAGATTTGTTCAGGCCACTTTGTGAAGATCCGGAAATTTCTCTAAACAAAGCGAGTCACTTGTATCATTTCATAACCGCAAGAGTCCACAGATCTCACCGAAATGGGATCTGTTTGTTAACGTGAACAATTAAAAAAGACTAGCGAAAGTGCAAAACGCCTTTCCTCCTCTTCCTCTCGCCCCTTCCCATTACGCCGAACAGGGCCGCTTGTTTGGAACCTTAGCCCGACATGGAATTGGTGAGTGTGTCCGCACTCAGCAGGGGGCCGAGATGAGAAAACATCGTGCAAAACAGCTCGCCTTTTCATTTTCCAGTTAGCTTCGTGAAAAAGGGAAAATATTGAAGAGGTGGTAGGATCGCGCAAGTCAAGGGAGGAAGCCCTCTGATGGTGAGCGCCAACCAAGCCTTCTTGAGTGTAATTCCTGCTACGAAAGTGGCCTTGAATCGAGCCTCATCGATCTCATCTGGGATTCCAGCTTTTACCTGATACTGGAGCTAGTTTTGGCTTCACTTCTGAAGAGATGTTCGCTTACCTTCACATGAAGAGCGCCAAAGCATGTTTTATAGGTGAGATGATTGTGCTTGAACACAGTGACTTTTCTGAGAAGTGTCCGAAGCTTGCGGGAATGGCGACGTTCATTCTTCACCGGCGCGAAAGCGGATGAAGTCGAAAGTGTGTGTAGCTCCGAAGCAGTACTAAAATGCAGAAGATTCCTTAGGATCTTTGAAAAAAATCAAAAATGTAAAAGGAACTAACAAAGACATGCTAAAGTTGCGCAGGGAGAAGGTTGCTGGTTTCTTCGAGGGTCGAGATTAGAGTAATTACTGCAATTTAATAGGCTTGACGCGTAAGGGAGGACATGAGGCTAACACCTGTGAAGAAAAACATGAAGATAAGTGGAAATCGATGAAGATTATCGCGCTTCACATAGATGAATCCAAGCAACCGTCACGCCCGTTAGCACGTATTATCCTGCTGGGGATATGAGAGAAGCCTGCAAGGAAGGAATGGGTTTCTGGGGGCTGTTCGCGTCAGAGAGGGGGGAGAGCATTCCGCAGTTCCGCTCGATTCCCTTGCTAGGTCCTGTGAATTTGTACGGCATTCACCACGGTGAGGTCGGTGAGCCCTTAGAACTTTGGTCAGCGTAAATAACTTTGTGTGGCAATTCGGTTTGGGGGGGGGAGGGGAAGGGCACCACTTCACGGCTTTACACTACTTCATGGTTTTACAAGACTTTCACAGATCTCTACTTAATAGTCAGACACGGCAACGAAAGTGTAAAATGCCCCCATCCGAGCCGAAGTGGGCACAGGAGTTGACAGGTATCCACAGGAGGCATGGGCAGTGATTAATGGAAACCAGCGGCTTGTCCCCACTAAGCCAAACTGTGCCAGTTTTTACCTCGGAACGAGCCCGGAATAAGCTTGACTGGAAGTCAGCAATGATCTCTCACGTGGGTTCTGAATTGAGCCCTTCTTTCCAACCAGTCTCCACTGTAAATTCAACACTTCCTTTCCAGAGTGATGAAATCCTATTCGGCTGCATAAGTGGACTTTTCGGATGCTACGCCACACGCAGGGGACAATAAATGAGTGCGAGATTTCGCAAACTCTCATTTTGCGTGCTCAGGGTCTCACTTGGGTTATGGGTTACACCACGTGAGCATAAGGTACTACAAGCTGAAGGACGATGGATTGTTTATGGTTAGGAGACAACTCGGGCAGAACTCCCAGTAGTTCCTAACTAGTTGGCTTCCACGTCAAATCAGTTTGAGCATGGTGCGAATGTCGCGTGCGTGACTCTATTTGCAACGCCCTTTGGCTCTGCTGCCGCCGATTGGAGGGAGCTCCCAACTGACACTCCAGGAGAAATCAAAGTTTTGCCATCGATTTTCCTTCCAGTTTTAAGTTACCTGGGAGGCCCATTTCAACCTCCAAAACATACCTCGCATGCTCCAGGAATCCACTGTATTGACTGGAACACGACGGCCTTCACATAAGCCAAAGCGTTTCCCTAATGTGCATTCATGTGCTTTCGCATT